ACATTTCATGAGACACATTCCCATTCACACAAACCACAACAACATCACCACCCAATACAACCCCTCCATCCAACCTGCTGCTTCTCACACCCACAACCCAAACCAATACCATACCCTCAACACACATTCTTTCCTCCCCTCACATTACACCCCTCGCCTCACAAACCACCACTCCCACAAATCCTTCATCAGAAACCCACCCCTCAACATCATCTTCACCCACTCACCACCCAGCAACTACAACTCTCCCCAATCCCATACAAACCATATTACCCACATCCATATCCACTCACCCTATGGTTACAAGATTAAAAACAGGCTCCCTCAAACCAAAAAATAATCCTTAACCTACTTCACCAGCATTCCCAAAACCACATCTCTCCACCTCCAGACCCCACCACATATACTGAGGCATCCAAATATCACCACTGGAGGCAAGCAATGGAAATCGAATTTCTTGCACTACAGCAGTAGGCAAATTGGACTTTGGTCCCACCCCCAGCAAATATACCCATACTTGGTTGCAAGTGGATATCCAAACCAAACTCCATTCCAATGGATCCATAGCCAGATACAAAACACGACTGGTAGCTCAGGGGCACATGCAGGAATATTGAATTAACTACCTGAAAACATTTATCCCAGTAGCCAAATTCCCAATCATCTTGATGTTACTCACAATTGCCTTTAACAGACAATGGGAAGTCCACCATCTAGATGTGGCTAAAGCCTTTCTACACGACAAACTGACATACACCATTTACATGAAACAACCCCAAGGATATGAGGACACTCAACACCCGAACCACGTTTGCCTTCTTCACAAGGCGATATATGGACTCAAACAGGCCCCAAGACAATGGTTTACAACTTTTTAAGCATTTCTATAACAAATAGGCTTCCACTCGAGCAAAGCAGACCCATCACTACTCATACTCTCTCAAGAAGATTCCCAGATTTATCTACTCACATATGTTGACGACATCTTACTCACAGGTAATAACAATACTCTGATCTCTAACATCATCTTGCAACTACATCAAACATTTGCCATGAAACATTTAGGCACATCCAACAACTTTCTTGGCATCAACATCACCTTTCATGACCAACCCCTCTTTCTATCTCAAACTCACTACGCCACATCCATTCTCACCACAGCAAGCCTCCACCTATGCAAACCTCTATCCAACCCCTCTTGTACAAAACCCCCACCAAATATACTACCCGACCCTCTCCTCAACAACCCCCAAACTTACAGACAACTCACAGGATCTCTAGAATACCTCACCATCACCAGACTGAACATAGCCTACCATGTCAACCTACTATGTCAACACATGCATAACTCATAACCATATCATGCATACCTCCTCAAACGATTACTCAGGTACATCAAAGGCACACTCAACTATGGCATTCCGATCTCCTGTGGACCACTTCAACTCCACTCATACTTAGATGCAGATTGAGCAAGCGACACAGACACACGAAAATCCACCTCAAGATACTACTCATTTCTCGGCAACACTGTGATATCATGGAGCATTAAGAAACATCATTCTGTAGCAAGATCATCCACAGAGACATAATACAGAGCTTTGACAACGGCCATCACAAACATCATATGGCTATGCCAATTACTACAAGACTTCAAAGTACCCACTTTGCATCCGATGGATCTCCACTGTGACAATACCTCAACCATAGCACTAGCCAACAATCCCGTATTCTACGCAATGACGAAACACATAGAGATCGACCACCACTTCATTCGACACCAGATCCATTCCAAAATCATACGAGTTCTTCCGATCAGCACTTAGGATCAGATCCCCAACATCCTCACCAAACCCATGTCCACAACGCGCTTCCAGCATCTCCGCGGCAAACTGACGGTTCGCAACGAACCATCAGCTTGATGGGCCATATAAAGGACAGACAATTTCCTCTCACAGGCGAGGCCTAACAGATTACATGGCCTCATGCATCCCAACCATCCATCTGTAACCGACAACATATATCTCAACTATACACATGTACACACAAAACTCTATAAATACCCAAGTACCTCCATGTAATAATGACACAAGAAATAATAGATGTTGCATTAAACACTGCAGCTTTTCCAGATTCTCTCTTTTCAGCTCCTTCTTTACGAATGTCAGATTTGTTCGTCTGTTTTTGGTTTCTGGCAATGTCTTTGCTATTTTCTTTTATGCTTTGAGAAACAGATGACCTGTACAAAGATCTGCTTGATTGAAATATTGTGTTGTGTTATCTATGCAAATGATTTGTTTCAAATATTAGGGAAACGTCTTAGGTCTTTTTTTCCTTCTTTCCAAAACAGAAACAATAGTAAACATTGCAGTTCCATTGCAAAATAAAACAATCAAAAGAATTTCATTTCGAAATTGAGCTCTCAATTTTTGTTAGATTTTAAAGGTGGCTGATATTTTCTTCCTTAGTCACTTAAATATTTAAAATTAAATTTATAATAAATTAAAACCTTATAATAAGTAGGAATGATAAGTGTTTTTTTTTAAATTGGTTATTTATATTTGAAGAGAGCTTGATAAATTAATTATATTTAAATACAATAATTAGAATAGATTGATAGATAAATTTGATTAGATCTTTAATTGATTTTTTTTTATAAAACTAAACCTTTGTTTGTTTCAGCATATTAAGAACAGTTGAACCGAATTCCTTTTATGTAAAATATAGAAGCTCCCTAACAATGGAACATTTCCTTTTTTTTCTTTAAAATTGCCTGTTATATTAAATTTGAATTATATTATTTATGAAGTGTGATTTTAAACTTCCAGCTCATTTTTAGTTTGGATATTTGTATGTATGATATGATGGATTTATATTTAATTTTAAGATTAGATTGTCATATTATTATGTTAATTTTATTAAATTTTAATAATCTTATTTTTTATTACGTTATTCGGTTGGACTTCGGTTGAATCATGAACCTCTCATTCTTTCAGTTCGTTGTCCGGTCTGATTTTCATAACCTTGATTTTTTTCATATAATACAACAAACAATAATCTCTTGGAGCCTATAGTTTTTTTTTTTCGTGCTTGTAAGAAAATAGAACTATATAAGGAACTAATATTGAAAAATAACACGAGAAATGAGAGTCACAAGAAGTTGTTGTCAATGTCGAATGCAAGGCACCATTTATGATTGTGATGAGATTGTTTTTTAAAATAATTTTTTAGTATAATTTTTTTTGAAATTGGGTCCCGCTACCACGTCATCTTGTGACACACTTGGCGGTGTCCACTAGTCCCTCGGCCAGTCTACCAGCAACCAGCCCCATAGGTGCAGGACCCACAATTCTTTTCTGATTTCATTCCATGACAATCCTATTTTGGCCAATCAATAATGAGTCCAAAAAGCTTATTATTATTTTTTCTTTTTATTTGCTTAGCTCTATTGATATCTATAAAATTTTATCTTTTTTACTTTATTTTGAGCTTTTTGCTCATATACATGTAAAAATTCCATTACATTAATGAAAATGGGCACTACCCTCAAATTTCCTAAAATATAAAGTGGCCATGGATCTTTTTATAGTTGGCGGTTAAATTCTAAAAAATATATATTTAGTTAATTAATCAAGGGGGGCTTATATACATAACACTTAAAATTCACTCTTTTAAGTATTTATTGTCTAAAATTTACTATTCTTTTAAGTATTTATTGTATGAAATTTACTATTTACTCCTTAAAATTCAAAATTTCAATCTCTTCATTACTATTCACTCATGCTAGCCAGTCCTATCACCTTCACACCAGCGATGACTATTAGGTGCGAATTATGGATCGGAGTTGCGTTCATATCCTATGAATGTGTGCAGTAAAAACGCAATGTGCAGAGTAATTGTGCTTTTATTGTGCAAACTCACAGAGTCCGAACAGTTCTTCGATCCGGACTCCGCACGGAATAATCTCTCTACACAGGCTACTAATTCAATGAGTGCCCTTCTCTAACCTTATCCCTTTGTAGCTCTTCTTGGTGAAAACTCATTGCTACTCTTTCCCATAAAATCTTATGTGACTTTCTTGCCCCCGTTATGACCATTCCCTGTTACAATCTTTTCATTTTTTTTCTTATGAATCTGCTGCAACATAGGACCGGATCCCCGTTACAACCTTTTCATCATGAAGAAACCTAATGAGATTAGGTCATGACTTTTTTGTCTCTTGGTTTGGTGAGGGTTTCATTCTGGTGATGAAGATTAATTATATATTTATATGCTATATTTTATAAATAATAAAATTTTAATGTTAAATATATAAAATTGGGCTATTTTTAAGTGCCATCCCCGTTAATGTATTTCCCCTCATGCTGAGGAACAATTATTACATCCTCTTACCGAATGTAGAGCTACGTTCGGCCGCCAATAACATGTCGCCACGCGCTCTTACTCTTTACCGCGCGTATTGCGAGGTATTACGACTTGACCTGGACCTGAACCCAGGAATGCTATGTTCGCGTATTGCGAGGTATTACTCGGTATTTTCTCGGTATTGCTAGGTATTGCTTGATAATAACGAGAAATACAGCTCTGTGAAGACAAATACCGAGTAATACCGAGAAATACCGAGTTGTACCGAGTTTTTTCTTACGAGTTTTTCTAGAAAAACTCGGTATTTACTAGAAATACCGAATTGTACCGAGTTTTTCTAGAAATACCGAGTTTCTCGATACAACTTGGTATTTCTCGGTATTACTCGGTATTTGCTGATATTGCTTGGTATTTGCTCGGTATTGGTTATTGTCGAGCAAAATCGATCAATACCTAGCAATACCGAGCAATACCTAGCAAAATCGAGAAATACCAAGCCATCCTGGGTTCGTTATGGGCCGGATTGTCGGGCCGCACGATAAATAGTGAGAATGTGTGGCACGATTCTATTGGCGGCCGAACATAGAGCTACGTCCTGTGATCCGGACCAAATAAAAGTTCCATGCTGAGTAGGCTCCTTGACCCCTACCCGTCTGCACAAAACACAGTTTGCATTTCGTCTGACGGTGGTATTCAGCGGTAGCGATGGAGTGCGTGTTCGGGCTTGTCGGCGACGGATTCGCCGTGATTGTGGCGGACACATCGGCCGTCCATAGCATCCTCGTCCACAAATCAAACGAAGACAAGATCATGATCCTCGACTCTCATAAGCTCCTTGGTGTTTCCGGCGAAGCCGGCGATCGGTATCGCATCTTTCTAACCCTCCATCTCTCTTCTTTCGACTATTCGATGCCTATTCACCTTCACTGGTTTATCTTTTTCGCAGGGCTCAGTTTACCGAATACATCCAGAAGAACGTGCATCTCTACCAGTTCAGGAATGGCATCGCGTTGACTACCGCAGCTGCCGCCAACTTCACCAGAGGCGAACTCGCCACCGCCCTTAGAAAGGTCTTTTTTTTCACCTTGATCTCTTGATCTTTCAGTACGCAGCGCTTTTTTAGGGTTTAGTAATTATTTGTGCGGGGGTCATGGTTTAGGATCGTGTTGATGCATTGAGTATGGATGTGCAGTGGTTTGATATACTAGATCTAAACGAGTTTGATGCTTGTTTTCATGGATATTCATGGTTAATTATTTGGTTTGATTGTTGAGATAGGATGCTTAGTGGATTACTTGCGGTTATATCATTGATTCTGGTTCCAATTAATGCATCGTTACTGTGTCCTAAACTTTGAATTGGTTGGGATTGTTATGGGTTCCCAATGTATAAACTGAAATTTACAGGAAGATTATTTGTGTTTCTCTTGTTTAAAAACCAGAATAAATCACGTACTTTGAATCTGCCTCTACAGAGTCGTTTGTTCAACGCCCAGATAAATTAGGTACTATGAAGCTGCTACTTTGATCAGAGTTATCAGCGTTGAAAACAGTGTACATATTGCCAGGACTTTGTTGGAGTGCATATGCTACAACATGCAATGCTGATATATCTAATTTTTATGATTATTTTCTTCTGTAAATTTACTTTGAAACTGTTATTTGGAAAACTTTAAAGTTGTTTGTACTTTATGTAGTATTATGCTCTTCAACAAAGAGAACTAACGGACTAATTTCGGAGATGAGCTATGGTAGGAGCAGGATATAGGTCCATTGGAGGTGCCATTGAGCTTTATTGGGCAGGTGACATTTGTGTTGACTGCAGCACATTCAATTGTATGACCGGCATTTTTTACCTTAAAACACAATCCAATTTTAATTCCCTTATGATATTTTGTAACATGTACAAATGAAATTTATAAGCTCAAAATTCATTGTAGAATTCAATTGGAGTTATGTAACATATACAACTAAAGTGCCAATTGACTCCATATGCTTCATGGAGAACTAGAGAAAACAGCATTTTTCCTATGACTTTCTCTCTCACTCGCAGAGAGAATAAAATGTAATTTGCCCCAACTATCACTATCCTTTGGAAATTCAAAGAGCTATCGAAGGAAAGGAATACAGCTCTCCCTTGGCCAAGGGAGAGGGCATTGAAGAGAAGAAAATATCCTTCGTTGCAAGTATGCTTGCTTCCTGTGCAAGCTTGGCTCTTCGACTAAGGAGGCAAGTTAGGAAAGCCGACCACCACATAAAACGTAAGCAAGCACTTGGGTGTTGTTGCCAACAACCAGATTTGAGTTATGTCATAAGACTTTATTTAGAAATTGATTAAATCTTCTACTAAATGCGTTGGGAATCAACATATTGTGGTGGTGTTGGAAGCAACATGGGAAGGACCTCTAGTTGGCTTTCCTGGTATGTTGTATGTTTAAGCTTTGTAGGCTGAAGCTTATTATCTTCTGATTTTTATGTTACATATACAAACTTATGCTACAACTTTGGATTAAAACAATTTGTAATCATGAATTCTTCCCAATCTATGAAATTAGAGACTAAGCTTCCCAGGGCTATATTAAGCCTTATTTTTTCTTTTTTCTTGGGTTGAGGTACTTAGTCCCCAAATCCCCAAGTAATCACACTTGAGCCATTGACTTCATTGGATTAATTGTTGGTCCTATTTGGTTTGGTGTATTTAGAAAACCTGCATAGTAAATTAGGTTAATTTGAATACATTTACTTTGCAATAGATTTGTAAAGGAAATGATCTATGAAATATAATAATTTTATTTTAACTTAAACCTAACACAAAATACTTTACATTATACTAAGTTTTCTCTCAACTATAGACGTACCTAATACATGGACCTCCTACCAATGTTGTTTCCGAGTGGTTGATGTATGCAATCTTAACCCTGCATTTGGGTGCAAACATGATGTTTTCGACCTGGGATTTATATATTATAATATATACAGTTTAACCACCACTCAAAGTCTGCCCTCTAGTTTTCACCCAGCCATATATCCCCTTCATACATATCTCATCTCTATATAAAGCTTTTTATTTATACTCATTTTTAATGTTAACTTAACTATTATTTTTTTATTAGTTTATAATATAGTTTATCTTTTTTTGCTCTTTTAAGAAAGCTTCTTTCTTAGAAGTCTTATGTAATCATTTTCTTCATATATCATTTTCATCCATCCTTGATGACTCTTTCATTTAATAAGATCTTCTTTAAAAAAAAAAATTTATTTTCCTTTAATGCAATCTATGCAGGCCCTTTCCTTATCTTTGGCTACTTCATATCTATCTTTTTTATCATTTTTATTATGTAATCTATTATCTGAATATCATAAAGAGTTATGGCTTTGGCTTTGCTTAATAACTTGTTTACAAGTGTTCTAGCTTATTTATAATTTTAATTTTATTACTAGGTTTTTGTTTTTGCTCATTTTGAAGAGGTTGTTTTTCCCAGATGTATTTTTTTCACCTCTTGACACTACACATTCTACAAAGAGTTCTAGAAAAGAAAGGGGTTAATAATGCTTATATTCAAGCCATTAAGGATATGCATACAGGAGTTGTTACTTGTGTTCAAACACAAGGTGGTTTGACCAAGTATTTTCCTATTTTAGTTTGATTACATTAAGGATCATCCTTAAGCCCATATCTTTTTTACTTTAGTCTTTGTATGTCTCACTAGACATTTGCAAGAGGTTGATGGTGATATTTTTCTTGTTGATAAGACTAGAGAGGGAGTTGAAGGTAAGCTTGAATTATGGAGGTCAACCTTAGAGTCTAAAAGTTTTCGTTTGAGTAGATCTAAAACTAAATATATGGATTGTAATTTTATTAGTAATAGATCTAGTGGGGGGATTGTTACTTTGGGCGATCAAGTCATTAATAAGAGTACATGTTTTAGATATCTTGGTTGCATTGTTGAGACTTGAAAGTGATGGATAAATAGATGTGGGTATTATTAGTAGAATTCAAGTTGGATGTTTGAAGTGGAGGAATGCATCGAGCTTATTGTGTGATAGAAAAGTCCCCCTCAAACTTAAGAGAAAATTCTATAAGATGGTGGTGAGACCTGCAATGCTTCATGGTGCAAAATGTTGGCCATTAAAAGAGAAGAATAATATTAAGCAAGTGTTGCAGAGATGAGGATGCTTAGTGGATGAGTTGCTTTACTCTTAGAGGCAAGATATAAAATGAGCATATATGTGAAAATGTTGGAGTAGCTCCAGTGGAAGATAAGATTATTTTCTTTGATGTTTTGGTCACATAAAATGACGGCCTTCCGATGACCGGGTTAGGAGAGTAGATGTAGTTGATTTGGCTTATGTTAAAAAAGGTAGAGCTAGACATAAAAAAACTTGGTTAGAAAATAGTAGAATTGACCTGGTGATATTCTTCTTGTTGATAAGACTAGAGAGGGAGTTGAAGGTAAGCTTGAATTATGGAGGTTAACCTTAGAGTCTAAATATTTTCATTTTAGTAGATCTAAAACTGAATATATATATATATATATATATATATATATATATATATATATCGGCATATTAGTAAAATCAAAGTTAAAGTGGCTTTAAAAAAGATTAAGTGTGAAAACTTTGTTTGACTATTTTAATAGAGGTGTGGAAATGCTTAAGAGACAAAGGAATTTTTTTGCTTACTAAACTTTTCAATATTAATTTAAAGGCTAAAAATATACCATATGAGTGGAGAAGGAGTGTGTTGATCTATACTTTTAAGAGTAAAAGTGATGCACAATGGTGTACGAATTATAGAGGAATTAAGTTAATGGGTCATATTTTATAACTTTGGGTGAGAGTTATTGAGCATAAGTTATGATGTGATTCTAATGTTTCTCAGACCAATTTGGATTCATGCCCGAACCCGTTGGGTCAGTTTCGGGTTGGACTTAAACCCGACCTGTGACACGATTTTGACAGCCCTAGTTTTAGATATCTTGGTTGCATTGTTTAGAGTGATGGTGAAATAGATGGGGGTACTATTAGTAGAATTCAAGTTGGATGTTTGAAGTGGAGGAATGCATCGGACTTGTTGTGTGATAGAAAAGTCCTCCTCAAACTTAAGGGAAAATTCTATAAGATTATGGTGAGACCTGCAATGTTTTATGGTGCAAAATGTTGGCCATTAAAAGAGAAGCGTAATATTAAGCAAGTATTGTAGAGATGAGGATGCTCAATGGATGAGTTGCTTTACTCTTAGAGACAAGATACAAAATGAGCATATATGCGAAAAGGTTGGAGTAGCTCTAGTGGAAGATAAAATTGTTGCCTTAGATGGTTTGGTCACATAAAACGACGTCCTTCCGATGATCTGGTTAGGAGAGTTCATGTGAGCTATGAGGCTCAATAAGCTATGCACATTTAAATAACAATTACATTGCATTAAAAATTATAACATTCAAATCTTCAGTTAAATCATAACAAGAAAATCTAATACAATGCATTGTGGTATAAATCTTTTTCTTTCATTGTATACTATACTGAATATCAACTTTATACTTTTAAAAGATTGGCTTAATTTTCATAAATATATTCAATCGAGTCCAGGTAAAACTTGATAATATCGTCATTGAATTACATAGGGGTCCCTTTTGCTTCTTTAGAGGTCCCTTTTGCCCCACCTGCTATACAGGTAGCATATTCTCAAGGGTCTCTTTTGCCCCATTTACAATGCAGGTTTTATCTTGTATCCCTTTTGCCCACCTGATATTGTAGACTTCATATCATAGTTTAACCAATCTTTATTAGTTTGATATTCAGTATGATATGCTTATATTCTTTATAAACATTCAAGAACTTGTATTTATTTGTTGCATATAAAGAATTTCTGCATGACATGCAGAATAACAATAATTTTCAATGCATTATTAACTAAGTAGAGATTAACATTATTATGCTTATTTATTCATTAACTTTTCTTTGTTCATATGAAGATGAATTTACTTATACATAATCATTTGACTGTCATATGCATAATATGAAACCATTTGTTTTAATGATTGTCTTTATGAATTTTCATTAGAATGAATATACATTTCTACAATGATATCATGTCCTCTTAAATAAAACTTTGCATTACTTCTCTGACGAATAATCTCTTCCACACCTACACCACTTAACCCTCTCCTTTGATACACTAACCCAAAATTTTCTTTCTGCATAAATCTATGAATAATCATACCATACAAATAGGTTATAATTTTTGAAATGCTACTAAATTTAGGTGACATAAAAGGTAAAGATCAATAATATACTTCTTACCTTCTTCTTCCTTTAAATTTCCTCTCTTAAACTTCCTTCACATGAACTTTACTGCACAAAATCTGCATTGCACTGTTTCCATCGACTTTCATTCCAATCAATAATGCCGAAATCCTTTCTTGCTGCCACTGGACCATTCCCTCCAATATTGTGCTGAAATCCTCCTTATTTCTTCCTGTTATAACCGCAGGAACTCTGCCCTAGCCAAACCCCTCCCTTCTAGCAATCTTCCTATACTAGCTGCACTCCTTTCCTTGGCAACAGATTTCAATTCTTTTCCTGTACTAGCTGCCCAAGCCAACTAGTCCTTGTTCTTTCTTGCACGCGTTCTCCACTTCCTCCAGCGAACCATAACGGGAGGAAGAGTCGTCCACGGTTATGCTGATAAGAGCAATGGGAAGTGGGTCCCACCTTCTAACCGCAAATGCTCTTCTAATACATCCTTTCAGGATTATCAATATTTTAATTTAAATTATCCTAATAATTATATCAACTAACTTACTCATAACATAAATCTATTTATCTAAATACTAAAATAAATTAGTTTATGTATAGATAAATACCTGAAATTTTTGGTTCTCACAACAATGGAGAAAAAATATTCATGTAATTGATCCTACGTAGTGGGATAAAGGCTAGTTGTTGTTGTTGACACTACAAAAGTCTCTTTAGATTTATTTCACAGCTAAAGTAGTCCTTGTAGATGAGGTTGTTTTTTAAGTGCAACTAGCCATTTTATTCCAAAAGATTGCTTCAACTTGAAGTTTGAATTCACCTCTATTGACAACAATTTATGGAATATTAAAAATGATCACGTTTTATGTTACTCCATTTTATCCCAAGGAAATTTTTTATTTTGATTATGTTTTTGTAGTTCTAAGATGAACATAAATAACTCTTTGTTGTGTACTCCACTTCCTCCAGGAGTTATTTCATGAGCTTTGCAAAATAGTCTTCCTTTCCTAACTAGCAAAAAAAAAGCCTGTTTGTTACTTTGTAGGCCCACACTTGAAAATATTTTACTGCCGTTCTGCTTTGTTACGTATGGTTGAAGTTTTAATTGTTTATTTTCTTAATGTTATTGGACCAGATGATATATGTGTTATTTAATGTTTTTCTTTATGGAACATGACAGAAGTATGCAACTCAAGGTATAAATTATATTATAATGGATAGGCATCACTATGTAGCTTCTGTCATTCGTTATAATGGTTGAGTTTGGTTTTGAGCTGAGGTCTGTTTGAGGCTGCTGCAAGCAACGTGTGCAGATGGGTGATTTACCATC